ATTCAACGGCCCGTCATCAATTATTCCTTACTTAACAATACAACCGCAAGAGGGCTCGGGGCTCATGGTGTTGGCACATGGTAAGCGTCAAAGGCCCCCTGGGGATCGAATTACCGATGCTAAAAAATGCAAGGTTTCGACCAAGAGAAGCTCAGTAGTCAAAAAGAAGCGAGAGAAGAAGAAGGTGCCCAAAAAAGTACAGAGAAGAAGATACATTTTCCAAAACTATGGCCCTCATACACAACCTGTCAGAGGAGTGCATGAAATCAGAATTGGATATTTTTGTAGTGCCATACACACAAGAAAGCATTGATAAAAATATGTATGTGCCACCATTCTCAGCTTTAACAGATAATGGATCCCTGGAGTTTTTCATCGTCAGTAATAAGGAAGATTACCTAGACTTCAACAACACGCTACTGCACCTATGGTGTCGAATCACAAAAGCTAACAGGACAAACATTGACCCTGGCGTGAATGTGGGAATCATAAATTACCCAATCGCCTCAATTTTCTCACAAGTGGACGTATCGTTGGGTGACAGGCTAGTAAGCTAGTCTAGCAATACATACCCTTACAGAGCCATGATAGAGTGCCTGCTTAATTACAGCGTCGGAACGCTATCCAGACAGTGTACCTGCGGGCTGTTTTATAAAGACAGTTCCGGGGCTATGGACGAGACCGACCCTGATGGCGATAACAAGGGCTTAGAGAAAAGAGCAGCATTTTCAGCAAGAAACAACGTTTTCGATTTGATGGGGCCGATACACTCTGACATATTTTTTCAAGAGAGGTTAATGCTAAATGGGGTCGATGTCAAAATTAAAATGGTTTGAAACAAAGATGAGTTTTGCCTCATGAGTGGAGATGCTGAACAGTACTTGCTCAAAATCGTATCGGCTTCCCTCTTTTTTAAAAAAGTTTCTGTGTCGACGGCTGTCAAACCGGGTCACGCGAGCGCCTTGCTGACAGCCAACGCGAAAAACCCGTTTATGAGAGTCTGCATGAAAACATTCAGCGTTGCTGCGGGCAGCCGGGTCTGCGCGCAAGAAAATTTCTGGGCCAGTTGCCTAAAACCGTTGTCATCGGACTTGTACATAACATGATCGCGTACGATCGAAACCCTTTCAATTTTCAACATTACGATGCTGAATTTGTAGCGCTTTTAGTGCATTTCCACATCTGCGTCCAATCCGCTGTCACCCCTAACACCAGATCCGGTCACGTGGTCGTCAGCCATTTCCACATCCATAGACACATGTCCATTTGGTGGTCCCCCGTCTACATCGTTACCCATATTAACACAGTCCATAGCTTCATCAGTACCATTCTCATTTTAATCATTTATTAAGGCGAGCATGAAGGGGTTAATTTCAGCCGGCGGTCCGTCATTCAGTTCATCAATCAGCCGTTGCAGATCAGGGTTAATCGTTGTATCACCTCTGTCGTCGTTTATATGCATCCTTCTAGACCCCCCAGCTACATCACAACAGGCAATTGCCAAGGTGTTAAGGGGTCAGTATCCCAATCTTGTGACTCCTGCGGTGGTTCTGGTAAGGCACGGGGTGAGGATGCTGGAACACCGCTCGCAGATCCCCCTTGGTCCGGCGATACGCTTCGTGTCATGGGAGTTCCCGGTCACGGCTGGTCCTGTATGCTGTCAGTTGAGGTAGCTAGCTCCACTTCTATTTTTTAAGCAGCGGCGATCAACAATTAATCATCGGCTGTGTCTTGGGGGGGGGGGGGGGAAATGGGGCAAAATCAGTCTTTAAGCATTTCATACAGAAAAATCAATGATACAGGGTAAGCAATATTGTTCCACGTACCGTTAAAACTATCCGCTTATGGCTAACTTGTCGGGGCGCAGGTCCTTCACGATTATCTCTGAAAATAACCATTGGCGTGCATAGCAGTTCATTGCCGCTAACTGCAATTGTGAGCATATTCACTTTCAGTCATTGACATTGAATGCATCCCATGTTTCTAGGTGAATCATGAAATCCTCAGTTCAGAATTCTGATTCATCTAGTATTTTTGTACGCATACATTTACTTCATACATATACTACATACACTACATAAGGGGTCCCCAACAAAATTACACAAGGCAGATTTCACTTGAATCCTACATAATGGAAATATAGTAATATATTTCTATTGTAGCATCGGGCGGACCGAGGCATCGCGAGAGCAGAGAGAAAGTAGTTTCTGTTCAAAAATATTTTTATAAAACTACTGTTTCTAATTCAAGTTCCAAGTGCAATATCTGGTTACAGTACATTTGGGTAATATTTCTTCTTATTTACACTGCATTTCTTGTGCATTATTATGTAATTTAATTGTGTTATATTTAATTTTATTATATTTAAATTTATTGTTATTTTCTCTTAAAATTTTTATTTTATTTTTATTTTTTTTTATATACTTTTTTAATGTACTTTCTTCTAATATAATTTTTCTTTCTTCCTGGTAAATTAATTAATTAGAGCAACTGTATAACCAAGACAAAGTAATTTCCCTCTGGGATTAATGAAGTTCTTTGAACCTTGAAACATGGACACTACCTTGCCGGGGAGAACACGCTCCTTATTGGTAGTCCTGAAAAGGACTACATCAGGCACCCAACGAGCACTAATCCAATTACACACGGGAAACACGAGGCTGTCAGACACTCAACTGTAAGACGCATACACGGTGGGAGATTTACATAAGTTGACTACACACGAGGATCGACAGGGTACACATAAGACACAGGTAAACACACGCACAATAATAAGGAAATATAACCATTAACAATAACAACAACAATACAAGGGCTATTTACAACTGCACGCGGGGCATGCTGGGACATGCGCCCCGCCGGTGCTACACTATATACTTCAGGGGATCCTCGGGTTATGACGTCTCGACATACGATGTTTGGAGTTTACAACACTCACTACAATAAAAACTTTATAAAAAATGAGACGTGTTTTGCCTTACGCCGTTATCCTCATACTTATGGATTACGTGGGTGAACTAGTTTGGTTGCGCGCAGCGGAAAAATATGCAGTAATGCAGTATATGAGTGAGGGAGTTGTCGTCCCCCAGTAAACTTACCTACGCCGTATTGGACTGTTAAAAGCACAAGTGTTCCGTTTGTGAAGAGGAAAGCCATCACTATAGAAATGAAGTTAGACATTTGTAAAGAGATCAGGAAAAGGATGCGTTTCGACCTACACCAAAATTCAGGTTACGTCACTGTCATAGGAACGGAACTGCGTCATAACCCGAGGACCCCCTGTATTGTCTAATGTAATTCTTTTATAATTATTCACATCTGTTTTGGATTGTGACACTAATTTCTAAATGTATAATAAATGTAAAAAGTTTCATTTTGTTTCGTGTTTGGCCTTCTGAAAATGGCAATTTGCGTTTGGCTGTCTAGAAGCATGAGACTTAATACAGCCCTCCAGAGCACATACTGAAAAATGCACTTAATTGCACTTAAGTCAGTGGCAGAATGACCATAATTTGGTGTTTTGTGTACATTCAACCCCACACTTAGCTCGAGAGAATGTCCTTAAGTGAATAAAGCATGCATGGGGGAATCAACCCCCTAGTGCAGAGAAGGGTCACAGTTTTCCTACAGTATAACTGTACATTCACGGTATCTCAAATATTGTATCTCCAATATCTACATTGTGCAGGTTGATTGTGAAGGACTGAAATGTGTATATAGTACAAACCAGATAATGTATAATTCAGACCTCCATGGAACTGTCTGCTAAATATGTAAAATAGGAAGGCAAATCACAATAATCAATAACCTAAGGCTGCAGCTGTGCTGAAGGGTTTACAAAAAAATCATGTATTATAATTATGAGGTCCAGTGCTAATGGAAGTCTCAGGTAAAATATGTGATAAGCGTAAATAGTTCTTTTTCCATCTGAGATGTCCAACCGACTTTAATTGAGCAAGTAGTCTGAACAATTTTGTCAAAAACAATTACAAGAGATTCAACATAGCAATCTGCAAGTGGATAGTTAAACTCATAAGAAATGTTTGTTACTGTAATTGCTACCAAAGTTATTTTTCTCAAGTACTGTGTTAATATCACGAGAATGTAATAAAAAAAATACCTTTTAACCATAAGAGTTACTTAAAACAAGAAATCGATACATAAGAAATGAGGATTAGGTAGCTAAAAATATTACCCAGCATTTTTGCTGCTAGACCTAGATCTGAATCTAAGTATCATTAATTACACTTAAGCATTAAAATTAAGATGCTTTTCTTTCCATTGACCCTTTGTCATCATGTTAATTGTAATTACCAAGATAACTATATAATTACCATTGCAGATATAACTCATTCCTTATTAATATAGCCTATCAAGTACAAAATCTACTCAAATCAATTAGCTGCCCTAGAAAATGATATTTTAAATTCTCAATACTCAAAAGTATGCACTGCTGCTTCATACTGACAGGAATGGGGATTTCAATGTCACCTCTGCTCAGTGTGTGTGGATGTTTAGTGATATCCAATGTGTATGGATTTATAACGATATGCAGTGTGTATTTATAATGCTATCATGTGTATGCATTTGTAATGATATCCAGTGTGTGTGGATTTATAATATCAAGTGTGTGTAGATTTTAAATGCTATCCAGTGTTTATGGAATTATAATGATATCCATTGTGTGTGGATTTATAATTAAATCCAGTGTGTTTAAATTTATAATGCTATCCAATATGTGTGGATTTATTGTGCTATCCAGTGTGTGTGGATTTATAATGATACTCAGCGCGTGTAGATTTATAATGAAATCCAGTGGCCTCAGGCCTCAGACTTTGTTACAATTCTCCTCATTAAAAGCACTATATAAATTGAATTAAACTGAAGTGAGTCTTGGACATTCCAACAAGTCATATTTCTGGCACCTTGGGACTTATGTAATTTCAGTTTATGGTAATGCTGCTGTCAGAGCCTAACTCTCTGTCTTTACACTTTTGCAGTTAAGAGCACATGCAGTGGATATGAATGGCAACAAGGTGGAAAACCCTATTGACCTCTACATCTATGTCATTGACATGAACGACAACCGGCCTGAATTCCGTAACCAAGTCTACAATGGCTCTGTAGCTGAGGGTTCTAAGCCAGGTAGGCAAAATCAATGATGGATATTGTGATGCTGAAGTGCACTGTTCAGTGCTAAAGTAATATGCTCTTCTTTATTTAAATTAAATGCCAATTAACTAGTTGTACAAGACTGGCATAGTTTTTCCTAAAGTGACAGCATCATAGTAATAAGAAGAATGTATTAATGTCAGGGTCAGCTCCTGTTGTCCCAGTTGGTCATAGTCTGTAGTGTTTCCCCTGCTCCCCATCGGCCGCATGGCTTAATGAGCCAAGCATGTGGCTATCTGTTAACCCCTCTGTTGTGTGCTTCCTCTTCTGTTTTTGTTTTTTGTTCCTTAGTGTTTCATTTGTATGAGTTTTCCAGTTCCTGTGTGTTGTGATTTGTACTTGGTTTTGGATTCATGCTTTGTGCCCATGCTTGTGTTTTTTACCTGTCTGTAATTCCCCTAGTGTATATTCTGTTTCCTTGTTTCTGTCAGTGTCTTAGTCCCTCCCAGTCCCTGAGTTAATTAGTTCCACCTGTTGCCTGTTCTTGTACATGCCCTTGTGTGTTTTCCTGATGGCTCATTGTCCTGCACCCTCCCCGATTGGTTATTTGTCTGTCTCACTCCTGCTTGTCATTACGCCATTCAGTTTTCGTATTTAAGTTGCCTGAGTTTAGTTCCCTAGTGGTTCATTGATTGTGTTTGTTGGATGTTTGTGTATGCCTACCTGCCCTGGGGCGTATTCCACGAAGCAGGATTAAGGGAAAGTCTGACTTATTTCGACAAGTCTGGCTCATTCAAGTGGAAATTCCGTTCCATAAACGTGTCTTAAATGAATCCCCGCTGAGCTACGATGGTAACTTATGTGAGTAAATAAGTCTGCTCCGGACTAGGTTAACTGTCTCGCTTAGTTTAGCGTTGTCCCAAAAGATCGTTCCGTGGGACAAAATTCCGCAATCTTACTACTCATGTCTTGTATCTGTTGAGTTATGTGTCCTCATCTGACATAATATTTTACATTATCTGATTGAATTATTTTGTTAATCTGTATGGTATGCCAAAATTACATGATTTTGTTTGAGTTAGCGGGAGAATGAGTCTTGTATATATGTATATAAAAAAACGGAACCCTGTAGTCAGCGCTGTGAGTAAAAGCAAGACGAGAAAGCATAGAATAAAATCCATCTTTTCTGAAGTAATCCTCTGCGTGATACTTCCATAGTATGGAGAACAGAGCTGAGATTGCTACATAATCAATATAATAAAGCCTATAAAATCACGTCTTAGCATTCCAATTAATTCCTAAATAATTACAATAAAATCCCGTTATAGTGGACTCGCTTATAACGGAATATCGTCTATAACGGACGAGGTCCGCTGGTCCCGGTACAAGGCGCGTGCTGTGCCGGTGATATCCAGCGCAGATACGTACGTAGTCGGGATTATTAATAGTCACGCATCTGGTCAGGTGAAGTTGGATTACTACATATACAATATAATAATCTATACCACAACTGTGTCTGCTGGGGTGTGGCATGAATAAATGGTCTCTTCTCTGCCTGAAAGATGCCTCGTCCTTGTGCCTGAACCACCCGAGTTCATAACACTTAAATGTTTTCCGTTTAGGGAAATTGTCTTATTGTAAAGAAGAGTACCTCTAGGTACTCTTCTTTACAATGCATGATCATACGATATAAAATAAGCAGCACTGAAATGAGTGAGGCCCACTTTAGTGTTATTTACTTATCCAGTAGTACATGAAAACTTGATGGGAAACAGTTAACATGAGAACAAAACATTTCTTTACACAAAGGACTGACAGGTCTCTATATTTCTGTTATCTGTTGTTGTGGGAGACGCACAGTCATTATGTAAGTACTAAATAAAATTATACTAATGACCTGTTACAGATCAGATTCAGATTTTTGAAGTGCCTTTTCTAGTTCCTCCTGGCCAAGACATGCCGTAAAGACACTTGCTCCATCCACAGTTGGATGTTTTCTCCTGACTCACAGTGATGATAGAGAGCTTGTCTGTTTCACATACCACCATCACTCTGCTGCATTCCTCATAGAATTGAGAGTCTTTGTTGGTCCATAGAAAACCCTATTTTTCCCAATGGAGCTGCCAGATTTCAAAGAGAGCATTGGCAAAGAGGATGATGTCTATCAAAAATGCCTAGCAAAGGTTCATGGCAGCAGAGTGAGTGGCTCCTGTTATTGTACTTGGATTGCAGGATCATTTATTCTCATTAGAGCTGATGAAGCACAGGAGGGGTTGAGTGTGGGAATGCCATTCGATCCATTGGAGTATGAGTTTCTGTATCCTCTGCAGCCCTTAATGAAGAGAAAGAACAATGCTTCTCAGGTGAAGCCACCCATATGGAAAAAAACAGTATGATTCATATACAGCAACCATATATTTTTCTTACTTAATTCAGCCAGAATTGCCTTCTGTGTTTCATACAAGTCCAATATATGTCCTATACAAAATCAGACCGGTTATGGCCACTTTCATATTAAAAAGCACACATTAAACATGTAAGGGAATTTTTGGGTCATATATGAAAACTGCATAAAATATTATATGAATTTTACATGAAAACAATATGTAAAGGTATATGATATTACTAAAAGAATAAAGAAACTTACTAATTCTCATATACAAATCATTTAAAGTTCTTATATTAAATCATATGCTAGTCTAATTGAAGTCATATAGGATTTATTTACATTCTGTGTCATTTGTTTAGAGGTATTTCATATTGTTTTAATAGGGAAACTGTGTGCCTGCTCTTCAAGCTTTATATGTTTCCACCTAATTGCTTATATTACAGCAATAATATTTTTATAACTCTACATATAATTATCATACATGATTTCAGTCAATATTACAATAGACATTTTTGTATATTATGTGCAAATTTGAAATCTAAAAAATATAAATTAAGTATGTATGTGTCACGTGGAGCAGGCGAGCCGGGAAGCAGGCGAGCAGAGCCGGTAATACGCACAAAACGGGGTTTATTACGGGATACAGGCAGACATCGAACAGCAGACATGACAATACAATGACGGATCTGACGAGACGTACTCAGACGCGGACTAAATACACAGGAAAGATCAAACGAAACAAGGCACAGGTGTTGACAATCCGGGAATCACACAAGGTAACGAGGTGGGCGTGGCACACACGAGGATCGGACGGAGCTGGGTGTGACAGTATGTTAGATAAATAAATGTATAAGTGTACAAAAAGTGTTGTGTGTTCCTCAATTATTGTCTGAGATGGACTGCCTGAGAGAAGAAACTGTTGCTGCGCCTGGCCGCGTTCTGCACTGTCGACCAGACGGCAACAGTTCAAAGAGGGAAACTGGGTAAACTGCACTATGTTTTATACACCTCTCAAAAGATGTGGCTGGCATTCATATTAAATTAGCATTCTTTCCCTATATTTTTACATCTTGAAAATCTATAAGGCTTTAGTCAAATGCTGGACATATATAACATATATGATTGTTAATACACAAATATTATGCATTTTGTATATGTGGTTTTTGCAACATATGAGTCCTTTACGGTATTCTGTTGGAACATATAAGAATCACAGATGTTTTTAACAAAATTTTTCCATATTGGCTGCAGTCACCCTGTATCAGTTCTAACACTCTGGAATGAGAGCTTCTTTCAGGATAGGACTATCCTACATCAGGGTTAGAAGGCATTTGGCAGATACAGTGTGTGTGTGTGTGTGTGTGTGTGTATATATATATATACACTGCCTGGCCAAAAAAAGAGTCGCCATTTGAATTTTTCGTTGGACCACCTTTAGCTTTGATTATGGCGCACATTTGTCATGGCATTGTTTCCAAAAGCTTATGCAACATCTCACCCTTTATTTTCATCCAGATTTGCATTCATTTCTCACCGAGATCCTGTATTGACAAGTGTGTTGAAGCACTCCATAAAGCCTCCTTCAGCACATCGCAAAGACCTTCAATAAGGTTAAGGTCACAACTCTGACACTTTTTGACAATTCAAACCCAATGAATCTTGGCATTCTTGTCCTGGAATATGCCCATGCCAACAGGGAAGAAAAAAATCCATTGATGATGGATGGAGGTGTAACCTGGCCATTCAGTAGATTCAGGTAATCCGCTGACTTTACTTTATTGCTGCATAACGTTGCTGAGCTGTAATAATGATCCAGTTATTGGCTCTTGAGTATTTGCTGATATAAATTCAAATGCCGACTTTTTTTTTTTGGCTGGGCAGTGTGTGTGTGTGTGTGTGTGTATATATACAGTACATATAATATATAATATATAATTTATTTTCCAAACTGCAGTCTGGTTCTTCATTGCTTCTCATTGATGAAGGGCTTCTTCCTTGCTTTATGGGTCTTCACTCCTGCTTCTAGGAGCCTGATACGTACTGTCCTAGCAGTGCACTTCACACCTGCAGTTAATGTTTCCCATTCCTTTTGAAGGTCACTTGACATCCTCTGATTAATGAGAAACTGTTGGATAAGTTTATTTTTAAATTAGTCTCCTCTCTTTAGACCTAAGCATGACCTAAGATAACAATCACAAGTGTAATTCACCATTGTGATTGTGTCCTTTTAAAAACATGTTATTCTTTTCTTACTTATTTGTGATCATAAAAAGCCTAACACATCACAGCTTTTAAGATTTGAAGCAGTAGCGCCTAAGGCCTGTTAGTCTGTATAATGCTTTTCATTGGTCACATACCCAGTACAATTGTTGTTCTGAGTAGCTGTGAGGTGTCTGATGGTGACTTTGCCCAACAAAACCTTCTGCTGTTTACCAGCACCAGCTAAGGCTGTGAATTCATACCAAAGAGCTGTATGATTACATCTGTAGTCAGGTTGATCTGTGCAGCTGTCCAGTGGAGACCTTGTGTAGATATAATGGACTAATAAGCTACGCTTTGCCTGTTACTCATTGATATTTTCCTGTAAGCATCTAGGACTAAATCATAATTTATGCTGTACCATTTCTTGTTGTTTGAATCTGATCTGCACGTCTGTGTTGACTTGCTCCCATTGCCTTTTAACATCTTTCCTTTTATTTGTCCATGTTCAGGGATGGTTTTTATCTGGTTCACTAAATCTTGCCTCTAATTTTCATGTGTACCTTATGAATAATCAGTATTGCTGGGAGTAGGAGGTAGATCATACTGTATTGTTGCGTTGCTGTCCCATGACTGACACAGTTCTCTTGCATTATGGCCCGAAGCATTATAATCATTATAAGCATTATGGCCCGAAGTTTTCAGAGGCAAGATGGCTGATCTTTGACTGTCTGATTTTCAGTAATGGCTTGTAGAACATCTCGTAGAACTGGTTAAAGGGAAATTAAAGGGTTAATTCAGTTGAAAGGCTATAAGAAAAGAAAATGAGGAAGGAGAAAAATACACTGATTTCAATAATACAAGGGTAACCATTAAACAGTGCTAGCAATGGATATTGTCTGAGCAGGAATGCATTTAGTCCCTCAAGCTGTAATAATACTGTCACATACTGGACTGTTATTTTGGCACTGTCCCCTTTCCAGGGAATTGCCATCTGCCATCATTGGGAAATCATACTGGGAGAATATTTTGCAGTGAGAATTTTTTAGTGACCTGTTCTGCACTCGGAAATGCACTCAGTGCCTGTCTTCATCCCGCTGGCTTGCTTGTTAACTAGCATTCGCCATGCTGGAGGTGCTGCACGGAGGTCTGCAGCCGTCTGCTTCGCAGCCATTCCAGCTCCCCAACAGCGTGCTGTGCATAGAACTGTTTTCAATCCTGAACAGGGATAGAGATTAACCAATAAATTACACCAGCTATTGTTGTACCAGGGATTTGGGACTGTATTTGGAAACAGGTGTTATTATAATGGTTATCTGTAACAGTTAATAGACATGTTAGCGTGTATGTATTTCTATATGATTGTCTAAAGTGTGTACATTGAGCCAGTGCATATGTTTATTTATATTTTGGTCTGTATGATGATGGCTGCCTCTTTGTACTTCTCTGACTCCCCCTCCCCCCCCCCAACCATAGGCTCATATGTCATGAAGGTGACGGCCAATGATGCAGATGATGACACCACAGCCAATGGGATGGTGCGCTACCGCATCCTGTCTCAGTCACCCCACAGCCCCATCCCCAACATGTTCACCATCAACAGTGAGACGGGTGATATTGTCACCATGGCAGCAGGCCTGGACCGAGAGGTGGGTCATTAGGCCTCAGAAGGAGCCCCTTAAACTGTTTAGGAAGGATAGCAAGATCCTGGAGCAATAAATGAAGATACATTTTAATGCCAGGGTCTATAGAAAATTCTCAGCTATATGGATTGTGACCTTTTTTCTTGTGGGTTTTAAAGATTCCAACTAGTAGAACTTGGTAGGTTTTACTTTGCTGCTTTCATAAAAAACACACACACACACATACACACAGACACGTGTTTATACTTGCTACATATGTTTATGTGTATGCATGTTTTTTTTGCTTTGGGATGGGGTCCGTACCCCCCGTGACTGTGAATTGGACAAACAGTTACAGGAAATGGATGGATGGAAAAATTATAATGAAACATACGTAAAATATATATGTGCGTGTGTGTGTGTATGTGTGTGTGTGTATATATATATATATATATATATATATATATATATATATATATATATATATATATATATATATATATATATATATATATATATATATACTGTATATAGATATAACATCCAGCACTATATTTTCTTCAGCTGCATCAATCCCTTGCAGCTAACCATATTATACTACAACAAGGTAATTAATTCAACAAGGGTCAGCTGGATCTCTTTACCTCAGGGCATTTGTAAGCTGGTGATCAATCACCATGGTAACACACGAGATCACCTACAGCCAGTCCAGGGCCGTTGTTCTACCTCCTTCGAGTTCACAGTTTGTAACTGTCTGTAATACTGTGTTTGTGTATGTGTGTTTCTTTGTCTTTGTGGCTATGTCTGTGTCTCTAAGTGCACAGTTAGCTGAGATTGTGACGAGAAAGCTCTAGGGCAAGACTCAGGATGTCTTTGAGCAAAATTGTGATTGGCAGTCTAATTGCTGCAGATGGTGAATGACTGATAAACAACAAACTGGACACTCTTTGCCAAAAGTGCCTGTATACAGAGGGTCACTGGAGATGTGCAGGCAGTTACACACAGAAACACAGGCCACACAAACATATACAGTTATGAACTCATTATTGAGTTCAGGCTTGTTACGAAAATGGTATAAAACTGGATAAAGTATCCAATTTAAGTGGTGTATGGCACTGGTTTGGCCTATGCATTACTGTAAACAGACAGCAGCTTCCATTTAAAATGCACTTGAATGGAGCAGCTTTATTGGCACTGTAAAGTGCCCATATCACCTCCTCCATTATCGCACGTCGGCTTTGTTGCTTCTCTTCAGCCCATGGTTAATATTCCGCTACTGTTGTTACTCTTTTCAGTCTGAATTTTAAAGTGACATCTGGTACCACTCACCCTGTAAATGCAACCATTAGTATTAGCATTGTAAAGGGCTTCCTTTTCTTTCCATAATCTATTTCTTAAATTTTAATGCTGTCCTTCAAAATGCTTTTTAGGAATAACATTTAGACATATTAACAGATCTATTCATTCGCTTCTGTGTACTGCCATTGTAATCTTGGCTGCATTTACACTTGGCAGATTGAATCCCATGTTTGCAGTCACTGACAAATTGGCCCATTGGGTAGTTGGTCAGGAGCTCTACTGCACAGAATAGCAGTAGAGCCCAAAATGTAGTTTATGGTATGTGGCCCCATTATCTGCTACCCAGCATCGCATTCTGCATGTGGACCTTAGTAGACCAGCTTTCCTTGGTTTAATGTTGATTTAGATGTATTGAAATCTCACTTTGAGACCTGCCTTATTTCTGTGCGTAAATTCCATGGGTAATATTGAATTTTTGCATGGAAGTTTGGCTCGCTGACATACTTTCATGTAACATTAGGAAATTTCTCAAGCTAAATATCTGTTCAAAGCATTCATCCATTTTCTATATCACTTTTGCAGTACTAGGCCATAGTGATTCTATATGTCACTCTTTAAGGTAGTGTATTTTTTGAGTATTTATATTAATGGTATTGATTTCATTGTAGTAATGGGGAGTGATCAGTATTTGATTTAAATAAAGGGCTCTTATTTGATGTTGTTTGACATGTGGCACTTAATGATTAGCTGGCCCATTAAAGCCACACTCACTGTTTAAGAGCATCCAGTATAACAGGAGAGATCGCAGTTTACATGATATTTAATTGACACCGACTTCCCGTGGGGTATTAAACTCACTGAAACAGAGCTACTTTATAATCCTGATATGTTGCTAAGAGGGCCAGTAGAGGAGATCTAAGCCAGTGTTTCCCAACCCGGTCCTCGGGGACCCGTAGACAGTTCATGTTGACAGGTTGCTAGATGGGAAAAAAATGTGGACTGTTTGGGGGACCCCATGGTCTGGGTTGGGAAACAGTGATCTAAGTCTGTGAAGTTGTGGACTGCAGGACTTTCAACATCAGAACAACAGAACTGCATTAGACCGAAATGCATTTACTAATTTAGCAGATACAATGCGGAGCAGGGCTTGTCAATCATGGAGCAATTGTGGTTAATGGCCTTGATCAAGGGCCCAACATTGAGATCACCCTGTAGACTAAGGGATTCAAACTAACGATCTTCCGTTCCCAGAGTCGTAACCCGCAGAGTCATGCACCGCATCCATAACTAGGGGCACTGGAAAACCCTGGTCTTTCAGAACCACTGACAGCATTGAAGTGATCAGCTATATTGTGTAAAAACTGGCAGTAGAATGGTCTCTCTCTTTTTAAATTCCAGTCCTGGAAATCCAAGGGACTTAACAGTTTTAATTTAGTACAGTATTCACATACCTAATTTGACTATCCAACTAATCATCAAGTCCTTGATTAGCTGAATCAGACCTGTTAGCACCAGAATATAAGAAAAATATGCACACTTCTGGGTCCCCAGAAGAGAGAATGAAGCAGACAGCTGTGGGATATTCATTAAGGGCTGTCCCACATATAACCCTTCAGCCTGATTTGAAGCAGCAGCCAAACTCTCTTGGCTCATTTGGAGCAGTGCCCCAGCTGTCTGGACTCCTCAAGAGGAATTGCTCCCCCTTTCCAAAGGCCCCTGCAATTAATGCACATGGAACTGGGGCAGGAAGGCTCACACAACCCTCATGGACCCTCTGCTTTGCACCACTTGGAACTACAACTTCTGCTGGTTTCACATAAATCATGATTTGTTGCCAATGAGGGACCCACACATAATAGCCATCATTTTTTCCCATTTTGGTTTGAATTTGCATTTATTCAGCACACACTTTTGGCGACTTAGAAGCGAGACAGATAATGCATTGCAAGCTTTCAAGAAGCCAACTTAAATAGAACTGCAGCTAGGCAGAGCTTTCAAGGACTGACCTATAACAAGTGTAAATTTCACTGCCACAACAGCTGTACACAGAACACTGGAGGAACCTAACAAAGGAGGAATGCAAAGCACCACGAGGACTAGGTTCGTCTTACACAAATGCAAAATACAAGAGCATCCAGTTTTGCCAAAAATCTATAACCAAGGGATAGGTAGTGAAGATGGAGCAAGTCAGATCAGATGAGCAAGTTGAAGTCTTCTCAAGAAAGATGGATCTTTGGCATTTCTTGAAGGCTACGAGTGACTCTGCTTTTGAGAAAGTCTCGGGCACTGGGTGACACAAGGTGCAGCATTCGGAGCCTGAGAATTTGTGTTTCTTTTTTTCTTTTAAAAAGAGCCTGTGATGCTGTTATAGTTATGGATGGTCTAACGCAGTGGAGGGCACCGTTAGGCAGGAATGAACACAGCTCTTACTCATAACCTATACACATCACTTGTTTCATCATATGCTTTTATTTTCTTGCCAGATGCTTTCATCCAAAGCAGCTTGAGCAGCTTATGCTCTTTATGACTGGATATAACCTGAAAGTAACTGAGGCTAAATGCAATAGCAAGGATGGCACCTTGGTTGCCTACAAACCATAATAGTGCCAACGGTGAATCCAAATTTCACCTGTGCTCCCAGACATGCTTTCCAATCCCTTACTGATAAAGAAAGGCCTGTATAACATCCTTCCATGGCTTAAGAGGCGTGCAGGGCTCTCATGAAAGACAAGTGTATAGGTGTATAAAAACACACAGATATGTAGGCAGTACATGCTTAATAAGTTGCTATGCAAGATACATGGTTTGCATTCACTATTTCTGTTTTTAGTACTTCTACCATGACTTTGTGCTCTGAATAGGCACTCAAGTGTTAATTAGGGAATTAAAGAAATATTCTTGTTAAAACAGCAGTCGGGTCTGTGTGATCTCCTTTGCAGAAGGTGTCCCAGTACACCATCATCGTCCAGGCCACCGACATGGAGGGAAACCTCAATTTCGGGCTATCCAACACTGCCACTGCCCTCATCACTGTGACTGACATCAATGACAACCCCCCAGAGTTCATTAGCCGGACGGTGAGTGGAGCCGAAACGCCAGCACATTTTGTAGCAAATAGCACCGGGTTTGAGGCGGCTTATAAATGACGTATGGGTTTAAATCCCGGAGGTTGTGGGGTTGGTATGCTATTGTATTTTTAAGCAAAGCAGCAAACCTCATTGTCTTCAGTTATGAAAGTATATCCAGCTGTATAATTAGGCCATGTAGAGGTTCAGAGGCTATCTAACCTATCCAGGCACTGTCTTCTTCCATTAGATGTATAAAAAAAATTGTAAAGAATGGGGCTGACTGATTGACTTACCAAAAGACATCTAAGCAGCTTAAACATTTTTTCAATCCCTGCTAAATATTTCATTTGGTGATATTCCATTGACAAAAAAATAGAACATACTGAAGTGGATTGCAACCTGTGAAGCTAAACAAGGGCAAATACTGATCTAAACATTGTTGTAACACTGGTTCCATTGTGGGCAAACTTAGAAGACATAATTTAATTCTGCTATTGAACTAAAGGTCATTTACAGATGAATAAAATGCATAGTGCACAGTTCGCTTTTTATGAAGAATCTGCAAATAGCTTTGGGATTGGAGGAATGTGAAATGCCTCACTTGATTCACAAAAGCATAGCTGAAATTAAACTCATATGAACTGCTTGTGCCCTGCAGCCTTTTAGCAGCGGCAGTCAGCTTCAGAATGAGAGCGATCTGGCCTGAAAGCACAGAAATGGCCTGGCAGTTCTGGCCATCCCTGCCAAATGCAAGTCAGCAGTCTTTAAATAATCTATCATCCTGCCACCAGTAGAGCAGAGGAGGGGCCTACACAGCCCTGAGTGACACTCTATCATCTTGTAATTTTTAGAGGCAAAGTGAAAAGTGTCGTGTCCTGCTCCTATTTTATATTTCTTTGCTTATGACTATTTGGCATGACAGCCCTGCACCCCCAAAATCTACGTGTATATAGAGCCATTAGCATGTAACCCAGTTAAAAGCTAAAAGCCCTCCCTGCTCCAACAGAGTAGCAAGTGGATAATTCCTAGAGGGAATGGATCACGAGAAAGCTGAGGCCTGTACGCTGCTGGGGAACTTTCCAGTAAAAAGAGGGAGAAGCAGAGGAAGGAGTTAAAATGAGGGAAATTCAGTAAATACATAGGGATACAATGTACCCAAAGATCACTGAATGCTAAGCAAGAATTTCTGCCCCTGACCGTCGGACATGGAGATCAATGTTGTGACGTCAGAGAGAAAAGGCAAATAAGTAAATGTATATGTATTCAGTACAGTGCAAAAGTCTTAGGCAGTCAAAGAATGTTTAAAGCTATTTATCTGGGTAGTAGGGGTATTTTTGCATTTTCTGATATTCTGAAATAATGCAACAACAGGGTAGCAAAGGGGTACCCTGGGGGGGAATCACAGCCTTACCCCTGATTTACACTGGATGCGTATCCGCTGCGGTGCGTTTCCGACACGGCAGCCGCAGGCAATCGCCGCCAATAAAGTCAATGCATCAGTTTACACCAGATCCGCTGCGTTGCGTCTCCGCTACGTCTCTGTTCCGTCACGCGTCCGGCAGTCTGTCGAGATGCGCATCAAGTCTATTTTTGACGGATACGGATCAAGAACGCAACACAGAGTGCATGCGCCAATTCTCCGTCACATCATGGATGAGGAAAAATTAATTTTGGAGGTGGAGAAACACGGAATTCTGTACTACCCCAGACATCCTTTTTACAAGGATAATAGTAGAAAGGAGAAGGCGTGGAGTGAAACTTCAGAAGTTTTGGGATTTGACGATAAGTTGAATCTTCCAATTAACTATGTATATACTTGATTTTTAATGAAAGTAACCTGTACTGTGAAGTACTTGTAAACTCCTAATAAAGTGTTCAGTAACCTATATGGGAGTGACACGTTATTTTATCCATAGAAACATAGATACATAGACACATGTTATGTTAAATGTTATTCTCCCGTGGTCATGTGATCTCGCAAACCAGCGGTGCGCCGGATCAGATACGGACCACAAACGCATCCAGTGTGAATTGGCGGATGGCCTCGGATGGAATGGGAACGCAGCGCATTCGCACCGCAGCGGATACGCATCCAGTGTAAATCAGGGGTTATCAGCTTTGTTGTGGAAGGTGGGGGGAGAAGGAATATTAGGCTGAAGGAAACACCTAGGCGAGAGTTGACCTCGATAGGCAGCTCTGTTTCCCAACCGAGATCACTACTACATCTCTCCACCCTGACATAGTGGCGTGGTCCACCAAAGTGAAATCCGTGCTCCTTAATGAGCTCACGATACCAGCAAAGGAGGGGATCGAGGCTGCCTACGAGTGAAAAAAGGCCAAGTACTCAGAGCTGGCTGCTGAGTGCCGGATGATTGGCTGGAAGACTACCATCTGTCCAGTGGAAGTTGGATGCCGAGACTATGTAGGGCTGTCAATCACTCGCCTTCTGAGGGACGTGGGAGTGACCGGAGGGAGCCTAAAGAAGGCAATCAAAGAGATGGCAGAGGAGGCCGAGAAGGGGACTTTTTGGCTTTGGCTGAGTGCTGGGGAAACAACTAACCCCAATAACAGCCGCAGGGGAAACACCTAGCAGCTGCAAGGGTGACAGGGAGTCGTCCCTGTCACTTCTCCGCCACCAGGAGATGTTCCAGGATTAAAGGAGCGAAACGTCGTTGATCGGTGGTTCCTGGCTGACGACCCTGCAGCTGACTCGTAGGCACCGGAGGAGGTGCGACCAGCAGCAATGCCTAGTAGGCAATTCCATCTTCTTGTATATACTACTACTGTTCAAGGCTATAAAATAGTGCATTTGTTTAAAATAACGCGTTAACAAAAAACAACTAATGTTTTTTACCATTTAAAACTGCCAGACCCAGTACAGTGGAACCTCGGATTACGAGTAACGCGGTTTATGAGTGTTGCACAAGACGAGCAAAGATTTTTAATAAACCAAGCAAGTCCTGGTTTACGAGCGCCAAGTATCATCAAAAATCATATGGCACACATGCGCTCCTTGTTTTTCTTGTTTTTTTATGTGCGCTCGGCTTCAAAACAGGATGCGCATGCCTCACTCGTATAGTCAAAATTTAGTAGAAAAGCACCACCTGAATAAGGGTGTAGCAGTGCGAGCGATGAATCTGTTTAACGATTACATTTTTGCGAAATCAAAAAGGAGGCAAAAGAGGCTGTCATTGGATGGGTTCCTTGTTAAAGTCGCACAAACAGAAAAAGATTCCAGTGAGCCAACAGATAGCAGTGATTCCGTTAATTATAGTGAAAGTCGTCCTACAAAATAACCCTCCTCTTCTCCTCTCTCGTCTCCCTCACACCATCCACGATTCTTTTCAAAGGTAAAGCGCAGGTTAATTTGTTTTATGTATTTTTACTTTATATTTTGTATTAATTTTTGTATGAATATTTTTGAGTTGTGGAACGGATCATATGAGTTTCCATTATTTCTAATGGGAAAATTCACTTTGATATACGAGTGCTTTGTATTACAAGCATGTTTCCGGGACGAATTATGCTCGTAAACCAATTTAATCCGTTCAGAACTCCGGATCGAATCCTAAAAAGTTCGAGTTGTGATCGAATTTTCCCCATAACAAATAATGGAAAACCAATTAATTGGTTCCCCGCCCCGAAAAAATTACACCTAAATATGTTTTTTTTTTAGCATTTAAACACAAAATGAACCGGATAAAACAAGAAGAGCATATACTGTACTAAGCACATCTAAGCACATTTATCAAAACAGTAACTTTTAAAAAAAGAAAATAAATGTATCCAAACAATGTGTCCTGCCCCGATCATCTGCTCCTTCCGTGTGTTACGCCCCCTTGTTAACCCCCTAGTTATATTATTATATAATAATAATTACTGTTACTGTCTATCATTGTCTAAGTGTATTTTTACTGTCTAAATATATGTATTCAGTTAGTGTAAACATGTACGGTGCTATCACAGCGAATGCGAGGCTGAGACTGAAGCTTTACCCTTTGCTTCCGCTGAGTGACGTGCCGCTTGACTCATTTCCCCGTGCGTGCAAGTTATCTTAGGTCGGCGTTCACTGTTTGACTTTTGAGATTCAGATGGAGCTCTAGGTAATTTTTTTTTTGAACTGGCTGGTTCGACTTTTAAGAATTTGAGTTCTAATGAGTTCGAAAACTGGGGTACCACTGTATTTGTATCTTTGTTGTTGCATGTGTCTTTGTTGATGCATTTGTATTTGAATAATGGTGGAAATAGGTGTAATAATCTAGTTTTCATTTTTATTACACTTCTAATTTTACAATATTAAAGTGTTTATATAAATGTTCTTCAATAAACTATTGCTGTGGTTATGAAATCCATAATCCAATATTACATTGAAGTGTTCATAATTATTATAATGAACATGTATAATCATAAACACCAATGAAAAGAAAATAATTTTAAAAACAACATTCAGTTCTTATCCACAATCAAACCAATAAACTAAACTCTAAAGTAATAAGTAATTGGCACCCCATCCTGGGTTGTTCTCTGCCTTGAACCTATAGGCTCCAGACCCCCCCATGACCCTGAATAGGATCAGCAGTGTCAGAAAATGGATGAATCTACAACTGGAGACAATGATAAAATGTAATGAAAGTGACTAAAACTTATGGGAAAAATGCTGTGTAGTGTTAAACGTTTACATGGAGACTTTGCTGCTTAGTGTTGGAGGAAATTTTAAGCAACAAAGCTAACATTTGTTTCTCAAAAAACCTGAAAGTGACACTACAGTCAGCAGATTAATAAGCAGAATACAGCCTTTTTTTCCTCACCGGTTAGAACGGGATCACCTTAAGTTAGAACCAGAACAGTACCCCTCTTTTCCTCATTCCAGCAGAAAAAGCTATTTTTTCAATAATTAATAATAAAACACACAATAGTTCTTAAAATCATAACAATAAAACTCGAAGAATTCATAAAAACAAGGAAATGCACTAAGTATGGCTGTTGCAATGATTAAAATGTCACCTTAA